ATTATAATAGTTTTCACTATACAGTTTGTAGTGACCTATTCGCCACGACCTGAGCGCATTTTCAATAAGTAACTTTATCCTCAGCTTTATGCTGTAATTTAACTGATTCTAAACAGGACATTTGTTGACATAATTTTTCCTTATCTTTTCACTCTGGAGAATTCGACGTTATATCTCATACTTTTGACTTGAATTCGTTTTCGCAACTTGTTCAGAGTGACAGGGAGACCTTGTGTAGCGTAACTAGTTCTTTGCCATAGTATTTATGATGATTTCCAGCATCTGACTGTTGACTTGTACATTCCCAGATATTTAGCCAGCATCAGAAAGAGGCACCATCCTTAGCACATGGCTGCAATTTATCGAAGTGACTAGTGAAAGCAATCCTCTTGTCCAGTTTTCTGTTCAACCTTTGCCGTCGAAATCTTTAAGAATGTACCTAGTGATCATAAATACTATGACGGGGAACGTAGTACTATGTACGTTTCGCGAGGTCGAGCCAACTAATCATCTTAAGAGGAGACTGACCAAAGAGAAGGACACGAAATATCGGTCTTTATATCTGCGTTATATCACGTAGCCGAGCGCAAGCGTCTTCTATTTTAGTGACAGTCTTGATTTTGGCTAATTATTTTTGTATATTCTTCATGTGCCTACTTTGATTTCATCAGCCTCTTCAGACTTCCTTGTATCCTCGACCTCGCCTTGTTGTCCCTGCCCCTGGCCCCGCACTTCCTCGAGGCAATAATGGAGGGGGCTCCACTAGCAGTGGAATGGTCTGCGTACTGCCTAGTCCAACAGATCAGACTACGCGGTTAGTCAGATTGATGCATAGTCGGCCTATGGCTCCTGCCATACTCTTCTTAGGTCCTATTGATGACCTTGCAGCCTCGGTCGGTGTTTCTGACTACATTCCACGGTGGCCTTCTATCGTATCCTCACAACTCCCTTCTATACTCGCTCTTTTCTGCACGTGAGCTCCCAGTTTGGCTATATTATAATTTTATGAATTCCTATAAAGCAATTCGCTCCACTGATCTTTTTTAATAGAATCCCTGTTATATTACCAACCGATAGATAATGCCTGTTTATGTTTGTCACAAACTTGTTTAATGCACAACATTGTTGGATCGCCTAAAGTGGCCCGAAGGATTGCTCATAAATTTCAGATAAATTTAGCAATAATTCTGGGAATCTTTCATTTTGATCCGCAGACGAATAAAATGCCAGTCTATGGCTCTTATTCAAATTTAAGATATACTTTCAATTTACATACAAACTTGTTAATATAATTTATTGCGATTGGTCGAAGATATGAAGACAAAGATGGTGCGTTCTATTATGTCCCCCTGACGACAACCAAATTACGAAAACGAGGCTGGAATTAAGTTTGCCGTTGTGCAATACTAACAGTTTCCTTCAGTGATTGGCAATGTTACTTATGTAATAAGTGCTTATTCATTTTGCTGTAAATAATTTGCACCACTTTTACTTAATGCATAACCTATATTGGTTGATTATGACATGGAGTTATTTCTCAAGTTGCTTGTGATAGGTCTGTGTATTTTTTATTTTCTTGCCTGCCTTTTTGTGCAGTGCTTTTTTCTTGATCAGAATAATACCTTGTGTTATAAAATCTATTGCTTGGACTTTCATCTCATATGAAAATGTATGAAGAAAGTTGATCTCACCAGAAAAAGACGGATGAATCCCGTTGTACTGTAGCCATTGGGCTTTTATATGACGCTGAGATTGATGCAGACCACGAGACCTTCCTTCTCTTTTCGGGTGAAAACGGGCTGAGTTTCCGTCCATCATATGATGGACATCATTAGAACTGAGACTCATTCTTGTGAAATTCTCAAGTTAACACTAAGACAGGCTCTATC